GCAAACTGTTGTTGATTAACATGTTGCTGCCGTATATTCGAGTATGGCTGTCTTTCCTTTGGCAGGTTACTGCCGCTGAACTCTGCTGTGCTCACAACACGGACTGCCGTTGTCTAAGTTTGGAGCCCTGGCTGCTGCTGTGTTTCGGTGCTTTTAAGCCTGTCGAAATACGGATGCTTGATGGGTTCAACTGCATTGCTACCATATTCGGCATTGCTGTTTTCCTTATGGTGTTGTTGCTCCTTGCCAAAGCAAGGTCCCCTCACATGACGAGAGGTTGGTGTTCCACGCTCGAGTGAACGGCAGTACGAAGTTTTAAGGCGTCATTTGTTACTTTCACCGGTAGGTGGGATGCTGCCAGCCGCTTTTTCGGCGGCAGTGAGACCGGTGTTGAATCCAATGGGCCTAGCTCAGTTGGTACTCCCTTGAACTGCTGAAACACATACCTGAGTTCGATCTTCGCTAGAAACAGATGAGTGAAATACTTCGATCCCAGATTACCTGGGACCGTTAGTTTCACGGTGGCATCTGGGGCTGTTGCCCATGGTATTGTCCTTTGGGATGGCCGTTAAATTGGAGCGACGTAGAGGAGATTATGATGGTCCCTACGCAAGGATGGTACACATAAATCGGGGGTAGACCTCTGCTATTTACTTTTCCCTGAAGGACTCTAGCGGTAAGGAGTATAGTGAGAGCCGTTCTGAGTTAACAAAGAAATCTGATTTGATTGACGTATTGAGAGCTCTTTCTTGGTGAGGGAGTGATTTATCTGGGTAATTCCGTTGACAAATGGGACCTCAGGCTGCTGAACACCGTTAGTTTGAAAGATTGTGGGATTGAAGTCTGGGTGCTGAGCGCCGCTGAGAGGAAAGGCCTTCTTTGAAGCTATGGTAGGTGACGAGTGTTTTCCTTTATGAACAGTTGAGTTCGCTGCTTCGGTTTTTCATCGGTAATTTTAGCACCTTTTTTTGGACGGTTGTGACAAACTATTTGACCTTTCTTGAGGAGCTCGCGGTTGGGGGTTTTACCACCTTGCTGTTCAGGATCTGTATTCACCTCGTGCACGCCTTTGTTCAAAAGTGAAGTGATCCAGCGAACTCGGGAAGTATTGTGTTTCTGTTGTGCACCACCGTGCATTGATGTATAACGCAACTTTTCACTGTGCTTTGACTATGCACTTAGTAGGCAATTGCTAAAGTCTTGCTGCAGATTACTGTTGTACTTCACTGATCACGATGTGTTTTGTCGGGAGTTGCATCGGGCATCGTTGCTGCGCACTGCTGTTGCGCATTGGTGCGTCACATTGCATTCGAATAGAACACAGGGGGGTAGGCTCTATTCCGACACGGTCCTTCTGGGCTGCGTAGTGGTGGATTGGACAGAAAGAACAACATCACGACTGGAGTGGGTGATCAGGATCCGCAGAGGGGGTTATTGCTGTAACTTGGAGGATCGTCTGGGGGATGGTACTTCGCGCTCAGACCGTGATCTGATCATCTTCACTGCGTAATTGGCCATCATTGCAGGGCCTTCCAGAGATTCAAGATTGCAAGGCCCTCTCACAGTGAGTTGAGTTGTCCCTCTTGGATCTCGAGAGTCTGACATATCTATCTCTACCCTTCGTACTCTAAGTCTAGGCTGAGGTTACGAGAGGAAGGCGGCAGGCGGGATCGAAACCCGTAGGACCGCGCCAAGGCCTCTGTGGGAGGTTCGCCCCCCCGATTGCGGGAGCTCTGCCGGAACCCAGGCGGGGTTCTGGAGGCAGGGAACTTCAGGTATAATCCTCGTCTGACGCGTGTGAGCCTTTCCCCTAACTACATTATCCCTTTGGGTATCTGGACTATAACTATGAAAGGATATTACTTTTATTTTTTATGTATGTCATAACATGTTTTGTGAAAGGCTAAATAAACAAATATATATGAGAGTTCGGATAAACTTCGAGTGAATTCAGACAAAGGAATTGGGGGGAAGGTGGGAGAAATGCGTTGTGCATGCGTTTGACTGGGTCAACCCAAGGTTGAATCCCTCTAGGTTAAGGGGGTTCAGTGCTGTGTTTTATTTATGTTTGTTGGGCTGAATGTATGATCTTTTTTGGGCTAGGCCTATCCTAAGTTGGACGGTCCAGCCACTTGTTTCCTTTTCGGGTTTCTAAACAGGAGGATGGGCATCCTAAGTTGGGAGGACTTTGAATCCTGATGTTTCTTTTTGGGTTGCTAAAAACAAGACTCGGGATATTAGGTCTGTGTGTGTTTTTTTCTGAGGGGGACAAAGGCATAAGACTAAGCGTACCCCTAAGTTGGGGCAGCTTAGTCATGAGCTATGAACTTAATGGTCAACCAAAGTATAAAATTTGATGCATATATTACATGAATCTATATCAGCTGGCAAACCGGGCACCCTAAGTTGGGAAAGTCAGTCAGTAAGTCAGGTAGAACAAAAAGAAAAGAAAAGCAAGTGAACAATATAATGAAGGTAACCCGGGCAGCCTGAGCGTACCCTTAAGTTAGGGCGGCTCAGTCTTATGCTCGTGATAATACGGAGGTGCAGAGAGTTAGTGTAAATCTTCTTTAGTTTCCCTTTTAAACACAAGGCAAGATTGGATGTCTCCCTAAGTTGGGTAGGTTTGATTATCTGTCTAACAAAAGAGAAAAATATTAAGTTTGTGCAAGTATATCAATGGTTGTTCTCTTATATTGTCATTGCGGAGACTAAGCGTACCCTTAAGTTAGAGCGGCTTAGCCATATGACGTTTGTAACTCTTCAGGCAGATCAGGCGTACCCTTAAGTTAGAACGCCCTGGTCACATTGTCTTATATGCTTAAAACTGTTTAGGCTAGCTAGGCGTACCCTTAAGTTAGGGCGGCCTAGTGATATGCCCTTGTTGTTGACATGATGTAGGTTGGACGTACCCTTAAGTTAGGGCGGTCTAACCTTTTGTCGTTCGTACTTTGTTTTAGGCAGGTTAGGCACACCCCTAAGTTAGGGCTGCCTAGTCCTATGCCCTACGTAACTTTGTCTAAAAGCTGACTAGGCATACCCTTACGCTAGGGCAGTCTAGTTTTATGCTTCATGTCGTCAGTTAAGTAGAAGCCAGACGTACCCTTAAGTTAGGGCGGTCTGGTCGTATGTTTTATGACTAGAGTCGATGTTGTGTTGGACATACCCTTAAGTTAGGGCAGTCCAGTTGTGCGTACTTTTACTTGTTTACTTAGGCAGGTTGGACATGCCCTTAAGTTAGGGCATTGCCTGATCGTATGCCATAAGCAAGGGGGGCACTATCTAACGAACTACTTGGCCTAAATCGATGTGGGATTGTGAGAGATGTTTGTTTATGCATGCTTGTGGGCTCTCACTCTGGGACGTCTTTTCGATAGGTTAGCTGCTTAGATGCTCGCCAAGTGCTGGAGCCATAGATACATGAGATGGATGATGGGAAGGGAGAGTTTGGGAAATAGGACTGACCTTACTGGAAGTTAGAATTGACGATAGCTCATGATACCATCTTCTGAAAAGGGATCGTGTAACTTGTCTTCAACCCTAACTGTCAAGCAAGTGTCAGAAGTTAGTCCTGAGTATAGCTTTGCTTTGTCCTTATGTTTTCAGCTCTGTATAAATCTTGGCAGCCTCCTGCTCCTACGGGAAGCGCTGCCAAAATTTCTACAAATCTGAAAGAGTTAGTTATTTTTGGACTCATAGAAATTATGGAAAGGCACTTTTCCTACGGGAAGCGCTGCCGAAATTTCGTAGGATCTGAGGAGTTAGAATATTTCTAGTTAGGAGAAACTTGGCAAATCCACCCCGAATAGGGGAGATGCTCGGTGACTTGATACTGATAAAGGGAGTTGACAGTGAGATTAGTAGAGGAGCTAGGTTATGAATTGGGAAGTATTCTCCTTTTGGCATGAACATAGTAGTGGTTTTCTTTCCCCTGTACTGTGATGCAGGTTTTCGTAATTCGATTGAAGGCTCGATTCGTTCGGCCTGATCCTACAAAGGATCACTTGTCTGTTATCCTTAGATAACAGGTCGATTTCCGGCTCAACTCTAATCCACTCTTGCCACTCAACCTAAAGGCTTTAGCTCTGTGGTTTGATTTGTTTTGTTGTGTTTTTACCCGGACTTTAATTGAATGGCCCTTTAATAAAGATGTTGAGTATTTTATTTTGAGAGTTGCACAAAGAGTGAGGCTTGTATGGCTAAAGCGAGGGGTGTGAGCGTAGAGAAAGGTTGAAGTTGACCCCGTGTAGTGTGTGCTCTGTTGATGTGGATCTTTGATGTGATTGCATGTATGTTTTGTGAGTTGAATCCAGACTTGAATTTGTGAATGATTATATATATACTTTTGAAGG